TTTAATTTATTTTTGAACGAATTTTTAGAATATAGAAGGACGAAATTGTGATACTAGAAGTGATTTGAGGCTTAAAAATAGTTTATTAGGGTACGAAAATTTTAAAAAAGAATTTGAAAAGTTAAATGAGGCATAAATCTTAAATTAGTGTTAATATGGATTATAAATCTAAGACTTTCTAACTCTTTAAATTAGAGTTATTTATTAATTTTAATGTAAAATTAATATATAGTATTATAAAATAATTATGTAGATTATATTGATAAAGATAGTGGTAAAAAAGGAATTGTGAAGGGAAACTTGTTATTCAAGACACAAGGTAACCATTATTAATGTGTTGTGATAGTTGTGTTTGTGAATGGTTATATGTTGTTTTATTGTTTAGAAAAATTATGAATTGTTAAAAATAAATACTGTATATATTTGTTTGAAATTATTGCCAAGTGGGTTAAAAAAATTTATTTTTGTTTATCATGATGAGATATTATTGTTCGGATATATTTCTATTTGGATATTTGAATGATGCATGACTTGTCAGGGTATTTTAATGTATGGTGTTGATGGAAATTTTTGTTCGGTTAATTATTACCACGTGGTAAACCCTCATTGGACCCAATGAGTGGCGTGTCACTTGGTCTAACTCACCTTTGGTCGGGTGATTTGGCGTCCGAGCATGGCGAAAGGAGGATATAAGGTGTAGTCATGCAAATTAAATACTTATTTGGTTTGTTTGAAAATATTGTTCAGTTAAATGTTTTGTGTGCCCACTTAGTAATCGCATGATTAGTTACAATCACATGTATCATTACATATTAATTTTTGGTTATTGGGACTTTTAAGTCTCATTCCCCGTGGTCAATATTTTTACAGGAGCGAGTCCGGCCGAGAAAACACTAGAGGTGTAACTATAGTGTATGAGACACCATCTTTTACGTTGCCTCTTATTTTGGATTATATAATGTATCTTGTGCCAACTTATGACATATATTCTTTGTGAAGCATGTAAACTCTAATCCTTTTTATTAAAAGTATTTATATGACCAGGAGGATTATGTCTGTCCCTCTTGATGTATGATCCGATTTGAATATCATGCCATGAGGATTATGTCTGTCACTCATGGTTTTAATTGTCTTTTTGAATATTTTAAGACTTGTGTTATGTCTTAGATGTATCATGGTAAGAAAATTTTCTACCATGATAATGGTTTTAATAATTATCAAAAAATCAGTTTGTATTTTTTAGGGTGTTACATTAATTGAGTCTATTAAGTTGAAATGAATTATAATCTCTCATGGAAGAAAAAGAAAAAAAAAGTTGAGTAAGTATTGGACTAACAAGACTAGTCTAACAGTCTTATAGATCAAATTTAATCTTGTTAATCTTTAGGTTATCACTGGATCAGATCAGACTAGGAGCTGTCTAACCCAGTTTTTTTATGAAAGAGATCAGACTTCAAATTTAGTTGAAATTCAATTCTATTCAGTCATTTGTGCAACCCTATTTGGCCATGGCCCACGTTTTTCTCCCTTCTTTTTCCCTTTTTTAATATAACTATAATGTATCTATGTATGTTAATCATTTATCCTTTCTCTTTTGTATTAATAATAATAATAATAATATTATTATTATTATTATATTAAATAAAATTAATCATTTAGTCCATGCATATAGTTTTGATCTATTTGTAACTTAATTCTTAAATTTTGATTCATTGTAGCTCATTTCTTATAATTTTAACATTATTGCAACTCAGTTTTTGAACTTTTATTCTTGCAATCCAATTTTTATAGTTTTAACCATTTAAAATATTGATCTCTGTATTTAAAAAAGTAAAATTATAAAGATTAAAAATATTTTAATATTTTAATCTAAAGATTAAAAGTATTATAAAGGGTTTAGTAATTTAAAATATTATTTATAAATTTTAATGTAATTTTAATCTTCATAATGTTATTTTTTAAAATATAGGGATCAAATTTTAAAAAGTTAAACTACAAAAAAAAAATGAGTGACAAAAGTCACCAGTAACTAGATTATAATTGAGTCAAAACTATAAAGATTGTGTTACAATAAGTTAAAATTCAAGAATTGAATTATAATTGAATGAAAACTACAATAGTCAAATAATTAATTTTGTTTTATTATTATTTTGGTCCATAATTAAATTCTTATAATTTATTTACTTTGGATAAATTTTCTCTGTTTTCTATTTTTAACTTCTAATCCTCCATAAATACTTAATAATTTTGTATACATCAAACTGTGATTTCAATGCCTCAAAGTTGTTTATAATTAATTTATTATCTAGTGATTGAAATCTATGATGATACAGAATACGCAGTTGGCTGCGGCAAACGAAGTGTTCAACTGCAATGAGTGGTCTTTATACCACGAGTTATGGTGGATGGTGGAAAATTTGCTTAATCAACCTCTTTGACTCTATTTGACTTGTTTTTAATATTCACTTCATTTCTATACTTCGTGAACTGTTTCTACCCTTATTTTATATGTTTAAAAAGGGCCTTAATTTTTTTTAATTTAATCTATTTCTGGGATCTCATTTTATACTAAGGTCGTTTAATTGAATTTTGAAGGTCTTAACAAGCCACGGTGGATCCTTATATTCTTATTCTAACTTATAGATTAATAAAATGGGTTTCAATCACTGCAATTATCTTTAAGTATATGTTATTGTGCGGATAATGTTGGAGGACATTGCATTCGGAATCGTTGCCGCCACAAGTGATGCAAGTCCCGATCATCTTGGTTATGTGGTGGAAATGGTGATGGAGGAGTTGGTACTATTTTAGTTTTTACTGTCGGAGTTGAGATATATGTTCATAAATAAAATTAAGATAAGGAGTTACAATTATGATTAGATGGAGTAGTAAATTTAAGAAAATAAGTTGTAAACAATTTCAAAATTCAATATTAAAATATTATGTTTATAAATAAAATTAGGAAAATAAGTTGAAAATCAAGATAAATGAAGTTGTAAATTTAGAAGGATAAGTTGCTGGTGACTTTTATTCTTAAATTGTATAAAAAAATGAATTGACCCATATTATAATTTTAAAGGTATTTGGGTCTTTTTAATATATTATAATATCTACTAAAGATCTGCAATAGTACTTACTTTGCATTTTGAAATTTGTTAAAATTTTATTGGGATAAAATAATTAGCATCTACCACCAGTCGAAGAATTGAAATCCTTCGCAATGACGGTATTCAACAGTTCGGACAAAATTTTAAACGCAAATAACTTTTTATCAAACCGATGGTAGGAAAGCTATAATTTTAATATTCGTTGGATAATAATTCAAGTCAAACTAAAACGGATATCGTGGCCCATTTGTTATGGGATCGTTTTCAGTACTCATTAGGGTGGTAAAATATGAATTATTCAGGTTTTAATATGTATGGGTCATTTAAAATATTTATTATATATATATATATATTTATTTATTTTTATGTTTATTAAAACAAAAGTTTATAAAAGTTATACAAAAAATTGTAATAGATTTGTTTACCATCAATTTTTTATCTAGATTTAATTTGGGGGATCCAAAGTTAATATTAAAACTTTTATAAATTAGCTATGCAAATTTACTTTGACCAGATTAGATTTAGAATTTTTAATTTATAACTTTATTAAATTTTTTAAAATGTTAGTTAAACGATTATTTTAATTTTTAATATCTTATTTATCAAAATAAAAAATATAAAACATATAAAAAATTTTAATATTAAATCTGAATTATTCAAAATATATTTGGATAATTAATATATACAAATTATAAAAATTTTAACATTAAATTATACCTTTCAAATTCAATCTAGACTATATTTGTGATAGACAAATTTATTAAAAAATATATATAATAAATCCTTTTAACTTGAAGATCTCATTAGCATGATAAACTCATTGCATTAAGAGTCTGTTTGGTTCGAGAGGAGGGAAGGAAAGAGAAGGGGAGGTGAGGGTAGAGGAGGGAAGGGAGGAGAGGGGAGCTCTTCCTCAATTTGGAGGGGAGGCTTTGGAGGGGAGGGGAGAGGAAATTTTAAAAATTTTCCCTCCCCTCCTCCTAGCCAAATGAGTTCCCCCCCAACCAAACAGGGTTTAAAGGGAAGCCAGTTTTGATGAGAATAAAATTACCTTTAAGTGATTTACTTCCATTTTTGCTTGTTGAAAGGACCGCAATTATTTTCTAATGCTCTATTGGGTATTTCACTTGTTCTTGTCCTTCTTTTCGGGTTCCTTGTTAATTTAATTATACCAGTCATTACCCTCTCCCTCTCCTTGTTAATTATAAAAAAATTAATTATTTAATTCTTATAATTTTAATTTAATTATAACTCAATTTATAAATTTTAACTCATTATAATTCAATTTTTATAATTTTAATTTAATTATAATTTAATTTTTAATTTTAACACTTACAATTCAATCCTTATGGCTTTAATTATTTAAATGTTAATCTCTATGTATTTAAAAATAAAATTATAAATATTAAAATTAAAAATATTTTAAAATTTTAATTTTTAGAATCAAATATAATAATTAAATAAATTTAGTTATTTAAAATATTAATCTTAAATTTTAATATAATTTTAATATTTATAATTTTATTTTTTAAATTATTTTTTAGATCAATCTTTTAAATAATTAAAATTATAAGAAGTGAATTGCGAGATTTAAAGCTTAAATGTTAAATTATAATAAAATTAAAATTATAAAAATTTAAAATTTTAAAATTGAATTATAATTAAATTAAAATTTAAAATATTAAATAATTATTATTTTTTGATTATAATTATAACTTCTCTTCTTCCCTTTCGTGCCTTGCGAGATAGATGGCGTCTCGAAGCTGTCCTCCTCAGGCTGACAATGACACATGTACAAGTTTCAGTATTATCCACCCTGAGCGCCGGCCTGCTCAAGTCACATCATAATAAAATGAGATAGGAATAGATACGGGAATCTTACCATGGTCCACTTGGAGCACACAAATCCAAATGGCTTGGAATAGCGCGCATTTTATGCACTCATCTTCTCTTCGGATTCTAATCGGCTAAGTCAGTCTCAAAGTCAGAGAGCACTTGAATGAAAGCCCCATTTGCTGTCTTAGAAAGAATCCAGCAATGGCGGAAAGCAAAGCCGACACAACTCGCCAGCACACTATGATTGTTTCAGAGGCCGGCGTTTCCGACGAGAAGCCTCCTAAGCCAAAGCGTGTTGCCTCGCTCGATATCTTCCGCGGTTTTACTGTCGCGGTGCTGCTTCTATCTCACATCCTTTTCATAAGTATTTACATTCTTAAATTATGGAAACGAGAACCGGGGTTGGTGGCTGAGCTGATCAGCTGAAAACCCACTATCGTTCTTTACAAAGTATAAAGCGAATAAATATCCTCCAAAATGCTAAAAAAACATCATAAGGCAGTCAAACCATCAAACCAATTGCTTAATTACGGAAAATTAACTTAATTTTCTCGTCAAGTTCCGAAGAATCATGATTTGCTGGAAAAACTGCTGTCACCTGAATTTATGTACATAAATCGACATGTCAACTGACAATTCTCATGACATTTTTAAGGTCACTCTACTTTATGAATGTATTTTCCACAAGTTTCCTCTTTGTAAACCTCATAAGTTACAAACTTGTGCTCTAACGTGTTATCAGTTATGGTAATATGTGATGTAGCTAATGATCTTGGTTGATGACGCGGGCGGCCACTGGCCTGTGATTGGTCATGCGCCATGGAATGGGTGCAACCTTGCTGATTTTGTGATGCCCTTCTTTTTGTTCATTGTGGGGATGGCCATTCCACTGGCTCTCAAGGTTAGTTTTACTGTAAATGAGAAAAAGGTATTGGCCCCGACTTTTTTTTTTTTTAAATTTTCAAGTTTCCTCTAATTCTTGTTACTTCTATTTTTATTTTTCAGAGAATACCAAATAGACTTCTTGCTGTGAGAAAAGTGATTATAAGGACACTCAAACTCCTCTTCTGGGGTCTGCTCCTACAAGGTTAGGCTTTCTTCTTTAAAGGGGAAAAAGTAACACCAATAAATATTACCTTATGAGTCGTGAACAATTTAAAGCCTTGAAGAGTCATAATTATTGATAGTTCATTTTTAATATCTAAAATTCTTAAAAACGACCATGTCTGTTGTCTGAGAGGGGATGAAGATAATGAACTATCAAATCAGTGTTTGCACGAGTTTCGTTAATTATCACTGTCTTTCAACAATTAGATGATCAAGTGGAAGTCATCCTGAATTGAAATATGATGTAGCAGTTGAAGCTGGTATTAATGATGAATTTCTCAATAGCACATATTGTGCTAGATTTTGAAGTTAACCTTGAGCTCCATGTCCGATGAAGGTGGTTTCTCGCATGCTCCGGACCATCTATCATATGGAGTTGACATGACATATATAAGGTGGTGTGGCATTCTTCAGGTGATTTTAGTCATTCTTCACTTCTTGCTATAGTTCTGAAAATCTTAGGCAAAGGAAATGAACATAACTGAAGTGAACTTGGGGATCTACGCCGTGTAGAGAATTGCCCTATCATATTTGATCCTAGCGCTGGTGGAAATATATTCAAAGAGAGAACAAGCTGAATATCAGACAACCACCCAACTTTCAATATTCAAATCATACTATTGGCACTGGTTAGTGTGATATTATGGTTTTGGATTGACTGGGAACATGATTTTCCTTTTAACATTTTATCTTCCTTTAAAATTTCAGGTTGGTCGGGGCATGCATTCTTATTGTGTACATGGCCTTACTTTATGGAATATATGTCGCCGAATGGAAATTCATTGTCCAAAACCCTGACAGCATTTATCATGGCAAAACTTTAACCGTAAGCTTTCAGCTGTCCGCTGTTGAAGTGCTGATTCTTCTAACTATAATCTTTCACATTACACTTGCCTATCATGTTTCTTAGTTAAAATCTACTCCTTCCAATCCTAAATATAAGAGCTAGTTGATAAGGCTTCAATCTCTTTTGTCCCCCATATTATTTTTATTTGTTATTTTCCAAACTATCCTTATTGATTGATTGTATATTATGGGTAGTTTCCAATATAAATGATTAAAACTAGGGTCTTTTTGGGAGACCAGCATACAATTTTATTTTATTTTTTACAAATAACTAAATTAATATCATAATATGTGTGAATTAGTTGTTAGTTGTCTAACTTCTACGTTTAGGACCAGAGGGAGTAACAAGGAATGATTTTGCGATCAAAACTTTACAAGCAAATTCGTTAATTATTTGGATATTTGTCCACAGAAATTATGTTTCATCTTATTATTAAAAGATGATATACTTGTTATATTTTGATTAGGTAATCAAACAACAAAGATTTAAGAAACTGCATATAATATTTTTTTTTCTAATCTTTAATGCCTCAGGGGCAATGTCTTTTGACTGCATTTGGTTTTCATTCCTTGCTTACTAATTGTGGTTGACTTCAGTCTTCGTTGTGGTGTGAAGGTCATGATATGTGAAGTTTATTTTTACTCTTGGGTATTTCTGAAAAGCTTATTCCTAGTAGCTTTAATGTATTTTGTAGTTGAAAGTATGCAGGAAGCAACAGGTATGGTTGAAATGCTTCTAATTTTGCCCTTTTTCCAACCATCCCCCACCTCTAATATGTTTTCTCTGTAATTTTAGGTAGTCTGTGGCGTTAGAGGAAAACTAGATCCCCCCTGCAACGCTGTGGGATATATTGACAGAAAAGTACTCGGAATTAATCACATGTACAAGCGTCCAGCTTGGAGGAGGTCTGAAGTGTGTAGCCGTTTTCACCCAGAAACTTTTTTTCTGCCATTCCTTTGTAACACTTATTTATGATCAGTATCAATTTGCCAATTTATTGATTTACTATCTTTTCTTAAAAATGCTACAGGCTTGCAATGAGAATCCCCCATATGAAGGGCCTTTCAAACAAGGTGCTCCTTCCTGGTGTTATGCTCCTTTTGAGCCAGAAGGAATTTTAAGGTCTGCATATGATCCTTATATCTTTGACGACTACACTATGCCTAGATTTGAACCAGTTCATAACTACGTTTACGCAAATGCTATCGCATATCATAAATGTAATAAAATTTGAGAAAATGGTGCATTTTCGCAAAGGAAATAATCTGAGGTCTCCCATTCTTTTTACTTCTGCTTATTATTTGAAATGTCTGGCCTCTGTTAACGAGGATGCTCTGTAATATTGGACAACTTGTTCTACTGATCCTTGAAGAAATATCATATGCAAATGCAGCTCAATTTCTGCTGTTCTGTCCACAGTTATCGGATTGCATTTTGGACACGTACTAGTACACTTGCAGGTCAAGCCTCTGGAGCACCAAAAGATCAATGCTTCATAACAAGTGATCACTGCTTGACATAAGTTTTTCTTCCTTCATTTTAGGACCATTCTTCTAGGCTGAAGCACTGGCTTCTTATGGGCTTAGCTCTCCTTATTTCTGGAGTCATTCTTCACTTTACTCATGGTGTGAGCTGTTAACTCTGTCATGCTTCAGCCTGCAGCTGATTGTGCTGATATCTAACTCATTTCTGATCACATCTCTTTTCATCTTTTCTTTCTACCGCAGCCATTCCTGTGAATAAACAGTTGTACACAACCAGTTATGTCTTTGTAACATCTGGAGCTGCAGCATTAGTTTTCTCTGCCTTCTATATTATGGTATGTGTTTCCTTTATAGAGACTGGTACTTATTCCGGTCTTTCAGATTTTGTCTTTTAGCTTGCTTCTGCTGACCCATGTGGTTCTTGTTATTGGTTTCCCACACTTGTTGGTTTGACAGAAATGTGTTAATCCGTCTGGCCAGGTCGATATTTGGGTTTTGAAATCCTTATTCTTGCCTTTCAAATGGATTGGTATGAACGCCATGCTTGTCTATGTTATGGCGGCTGAAGGAATCTTTGCGGCATTTGTTAATGGGTGGTATTATGATAATCCTCATAATACACTGGTAAATTTATCTCATCTAATTCTCTATTCACCCTGGTCCTCTTGTACTATATAATTCATTGGCTTGTCAATAAAATGGCTTCCCATATTGAAATTTTGGGTTTTATTGAAATATCAAGGTATTGATATCCATGACCTAAATTACATGCCGCTATCTTTACTTTTAAAGGTCCCGGTACCCTTGATGGACAGGTGTTGCATTAGTCTTATAGTAAACAGCAAAATTATGGATCTAGCTAGGAGATCTTCCCCTGCAACGCTCCTGGGGAAACTTGTCTAAATTACGTACCTTTGATTTACCATGTAACTGCAGATAATACGCATAAATTTATTAACTTAACTAATATCAGTACATTTTTTTGGGCCAAATATTAGTACTTTAAGTATTCCTCTAAATGTGTGACTCAATCAGTCTTCTTTATGGACGTTGTGATTTGTTCATGAGCAGATATATTGGATCCAAAAGCACGTCTTCATTAAAGTATGGCATTCTGTGAGAGTAGGCATACTGCTTTATGTTATCTTTGCAGAGATCCTATTCTGGGCTGTCGTTGCCGGCATCTTGCACCGACTGGGCGTTTATTGGAAGCTTTGAATTCTCATGGTGGTGTGATTTAATTTTTGCTCAGAATGCTGCGCTTGTGTATTCAATGGTTCCATGAATCCCTTCAGTGTAATTATTATTATTTATTCAAATAACAAAAGTTAAAATGTTTTGAGTTGGAAATGCATTTTGTACTGGTAAACATATGTACTGGCCCTTATAATTTGCTTCAATATTTAATGAAGCACTTATGGACTTACAGTTCTGCAGTGTTTATTGGAATTGGGTTCTTGTACTTTTATTCGTTAAGCCCGTTAGTCCTTCTGGTCATTAAGTCCGCTAAAATGGTTTAACATTGTTAGTGGATGCTGATGTCATTACCAAGTTGGATTAAATGTGACAAGTTGTATGGTGAGGTGGACTGAAATTGCTGCCAGATAATATTAAATAGATTGTTATTTTCCTCAAATTCTACTTTCCTCCCCTGTGCACTATGGCTGCCATTACAGCATCAAGTTGCCTGCTGTGTTTCTGAACTCAAGTTGCTGTAACAAGAAAAACAAGAAATTTTTTTTTTATGGCCGCTGCTTGTTCAGCAGGATCCTCACGTTGGAACAGCGCCTAGAAAAATTAATCAATGGGAGCAAAATTTACATTTAAAATGAATATTAATATTAATAATTCTTTAATATATAATATTTTTAATGTTTATTAAATTAAATTAAAGACAAAATTTATAATAATGGAAAAATAATAATGTCTTTATAAAACCAAACTTTTTATAGATATTGGAAAATAATACTGTTTTGAATTTTATTATTTATTAAATAAAATTTATCTACTTTCTTTTGTATAGCATAAAAAGTTTTTGAGATAAATTTTTTATTTATGCAATTAGAGAAAGTTATTTTTTTAATTATTGTTTTCACCATTCTAAAACTATTGTTATTTAGGGAGAATGGTATTAGGGGCCTCAGAAGGGGGCTGTGAGGGCCGTGATTAATTAAAGATTTATTTATACACAAGTTAATTAAGGAACCTAAATAAATAAACTTTTGATTATTCAACATCTTCACCGTTTTTTTTATCTTCTAGAGACTCTCATTGGCATTCTCCTTTTATTTAAATTTATTATATATAGATAAGCTTTTGAATTAGATAAATTTTAGGAAGAAGAGTGTAAAATTTTAAGGAGGTGTGATTTTCTCAAAGTGGAGGCAATTAAAAATTTTAGGGGGGCTAATTGAAAATTTTTTAAGGTATAATTTTTAATTTTTCCCATATCTAGTGGGGGCAAATGAGCTGATGCATGTAGGTTCATCCTTGTGTCTGAAGCCAGTAGGAGTATCCGAACGTTCTCGCTAACAGGAGAATCCACTAAGCATGAAGGAAAATGTTGTTCGATATGCTTCTCGGTTTACGAAGCAGTCTTCTTCCTCAATCACAAGCCCTAATGACAATTGCGGTGCACGGGGGAGGAAATTGGGGGTATGTTTGTTTTCTATTTTTTAAAACTATTTTTTGTTTTTAAAAATTTATTTGGATAAATGTTTTTCATTTAGTTGTTTTCAAAACTATTTTCATTTTTTATTTAATGTTTTTCTTGTTTTTAAAATATACTACATTTAATTATTAAAAATTATAGTTACTTTGACTAATTTTTATTATTAATCACCACTATTAACTACCTATAACCATCACCACTAGTTCATTTTTTAATTTTAAAACTATTTTTAAATTACATAACCAAATAAATTTTTATTTTATTTTTATTTTAAAAATAATTTTGAAACCTGTATAATAAATTTGCTTTTAAAAATTAAAAATGACAACAGAAACCAAACACGTCCTAGAGTTTGTGGAAAATGAAAATCTATTTAATATTACCTGGCTAATGACGGGAAGAACTAATTGGCTAAACAAGTGAAAGTATAAGAGCCCAATTCCATTAAACAAAATTGCAGATTTGAAGCGAACTAGAAAGGCTTGCAGACTTGTTCCCCTTTTTATTTGGCAAATTATCAACTTATATGCCTTTTTAAATGAATGCTATTTTAATGTTGGTCAAAAAAATGAATGTTATTTTAATTAATTAAACTAAAATCTGAAAACCAATCAAGAAGTACCTCCAAATTTATTAGTCATATTAGTCTTGACTGCTTCTATAACACAATTATGCCTCTTGGGAACGGATTTCTTGCAATGAAAAACCATACAATGTTTGGGAAGTGAGTAATACTTGCCTTGCATTTTATCTTATAGTTAGAAAGAGAGATGTATGATAAAGCTTATCATATGCAAAGCAACAATCATTTTATTAAAATAATTTATAAAAATTATATACATTTTAAATTTTTTTAATGAGTATGTTAATTACTGGTTTGAACAGTACAAATTTATTTTTGAATATTCCAATTTATTGTTACTTTTTAAAAAAATTTTATAAATTAACTATTCATATGTACTTTGAATAATCCAATTTTATTATAATTTTATAAATTTTATTTTAATAAATAAAATATAAAAATAAAGATAATATTCTAATTGATACTTTTCAAAAAATATTTTGTAAACAAATTATAAGTTAAAAATTTTAAATCTAAACTATTCAAAGTAAATTTAAATATTTGATTTAAAAAATAAAAAAATTAATATTAAATTTAAATTATTCACGTTAAATCTGAATTATTCACATTAGTGATAAAGCGGATTTATTAAAAAAATGTAAATTTTTATAAGTCATAGTAGACAAAAACATAATTGAGTGCTTTACATATAATAAGCCTTACTATGCGCCCCTCTCCCTCTAAACATAGAGATAAAATGTAGGGTGATGATTTCTCACTGCCAAATGCTGCACAGTTTTCCACGGCAAGAAATCCGTCCTTATGTGACTTTGGCGTGCGAATAAGCAAATTTCTCCAATCCGGAGGACAACTTAAAGATATAACGACGATATTTCTAGAGTTTATTCCCCGTACATTTACATTGTTTTTACTCAAATAAAAATATATTTTCTTGCAACAACAGAAATAATTTTTAAATCATCAGACTCAATTTCATTAAAACTGGTTTTCATCTTCAGAAAATTTGTTCATCAACTCAACAAGTTTGAAAAGCAATGCTGAATCAAAATTTTAATAATATTATTATTAATTAATAAAAAACATAATTTTAAATCTCTATACTTTACTCACATTTTGTTAGACCTAAAACACAGAAAAATAATGTAGGAATCTATAATAAATTGTGAGCAGAGTGCAGAAATTTAAAATTTTATTTTTTTCTTAATTAATTATTGAAATAGATTATCAATATGAAGATTACAGGGGTATTAACGAATGAAGAGAACCTGAATGTCTACATCTATTAATGCTACTTTCCTTCTACATCTAACAGATCTTGACTCTTGGTTTAAAATAAAAAAATGCTGAAAAGAATTTCAAATTAATATTATCAAGTGTTATTTGATGTTTACGAAAAAATCTAATTCATGCTCTTAAAAGCACCGTCAAACCCATGGAAATCTTTACCCAAGTCATCTTTCTCATTGTCTTTGTTTTCCCGCCCGAGCTCCTCTCTGCGACTTGCATAGCGCAAAAGCAATTGTGCCGCAAAAGAAGATGAATTTTTAGCATATATCTGCCATGGAATTTAAAATTCCTTGAAGTTGAGATTTGTAAATTTGTCCTTTTAAGAAAGAAGGAGAAATTTTTATATTTTATAAAAAATAATAAAATGAAAAAATATTAAAAAAGGAAAACTTCACATAAATTTATGTTTATCAACTTCAAAGGATTTAAATCTATCTTCCATGATTTTTATTATATTCAATGGTTATGATATGCAGAATATAACCACCTCGTTCTAGTAAATAAACTAATCTTTACCATCTCATAAAGTATTCGTCCAAGTGTAATGTCCCAAAATTTAATCTAAGAGTTAAATTAGTTAATTGAAAAGTTTAATTAATTAATTGATGTGATTGATATTATTTGAGGAACTCGGGTGGCCATTTGGGTCAAATGGACCCTATATGAGGTTTATGATAGGGTTTATAAAACTTTCAGATTGCCTTATGCCCAAAATATTAGGCTTAAGTGAAGTTGTTTGTTTTAAATAGTTCACCACGACGGATGCAACAATGTTTTAAATCTAAAGTTTGTAATTTGAAAAGCACAAACAAAGAGAGATTTTGAGAGAAAGGCTAGGAGAAGGACAAGTGCTTTATTGGGGTTTCATCTTGGTTGCCATTAGGTGTGGTTTGAAGCTTCTTAATCACCATATAAGCTTCATTTTTCCTTCTCTCACTCCTCCATGCATCTCTTTTCTAGTTGTTGAGTTTGGGGAATTAATGTTTGAAGCTGGGAATATTGTTCAAACACTCTAATGACTTCAATGAGGTCCAAGGAGAGTTACTCCCTCCGGCCCTTTTTATTAGTTATATTCTATAAGGTTTTCTTAGTCATTTATATAAGTCACTTTCTCTTTATTTTGATAACCTTTAATGTATAATTCCAAAATTACCTCGAACAAGTTCTAAAAAGAAGCACAATGTTTTAATTTACTAGAAAACTCTTTCCACATATCAAGTCATTATTGTTTAAATTTAGGGGCAAAGTTGGAAAGTGATTTATTTTTAAGACAATTTTACCATGCTAACTAACTCACGTTAGTTTTGATGAGTGAGTTAGAAATAACTTATAAAAAATATTGAAGAGAGTATTTAAGTTCCTTATCACTAGTTTAAGTTGTTAGAAGTATTTAATGCATTGATAAGGGGCTTAAAATTAACTTTAATGCTGAGTAATTAAATGTAAGCTAATAAGGTTAGTTAATAGTACTCGTTAAGCTTAATGAAGGTTGAATAAGCTAATAGAGGTGAGTTTTGTGTTTAGTTTTGATTAATCGTGCTTAATGAGTGATTAGGGTTTTAATTGTGATTAAGGTTAATTAATGACAATTACTCATTGACTAATTGTTGACCACTATTGTAGACTAATTGTTATTAAAGCTTGCATTTGTAGGAAGCTCCCTTGAAAATCTAAATTATACTGTTGAGGTGGTATCCCAAAAGTGAAGATAACTGGGAATTTAATTTTAATATATAATTGTGTTTGTAAGTTGTGATTTTATATATATGCTTTAATAGCGTGACTTATGTGATTGAACCATGAGTTTGATTAATTGCCTTAATAGAGTGATATCTTGAGTTGTGAGACTCGATCCTATTGTGTTGAAGTTGATATTAGAGGGAGTATGTGTCATGTGATTATATAAAC